GCTTGTCTTAAACGGAGGACGAACTGAGGGGACAAATAAGAACTATTTTTTAAAAGTCAGTCATGCTAAGCTATTCAAATTGAGTCCAAGAGCAAAAACGTGGAGCTGGAAATTAGCATAACAGGTCTACTTAACAAACCAAGTCAAGAAGAAAAAGTGATTGGCATTGCTTCTCAGCCGTGTGTGCATGTGTGTGTTGTCAGGTAAATATTGTCAGAATGGATTAGATGGCCAGTGCTGCAACCAGATGGGCGATAAGACCGTTTCTGTGGACACCTCCACAGACAGTCTGTCAACACACATACACACATAGCCCTTATTACCGACACACACATGCAAGCTTACTTCAGACATCTTCTGACACACAGAGATATTCAAAGATGCTTAAATCTGCAAGTATGCGCACTAAATCTAATCTACATCAGGATAAATATGTTACAGGAAAGCATCATTGCTGTAGCTAACTGCAGGGACACTACTGATATGTTAGCCAAGCTTTGTAGTAAAAGGTACAGTTTAACTCTGCATATTTTTAACCATTTTTTCATAGAGCATGCTGTCCATTTGTGTAAACAGCCTCTATTAATAAATATAGGTTGAACAGGGGCTGAGAAGTAGCTTCAGCAGTTCACTATGTAATAATATGCAAATTAGCCACGTGCCTATGTTACTGATGCTAGTTGGTCATGAGGAGGTGACTGAAGTGAGCTAGTCTCATGAGATTTCTGATGGTAATATTCAGGTGAAGAGTGAAATATATGAACATAAATGAGTTTATTTTCATTTTATTTTCATCGAAACAAGCTCTGGACTAATACAGTCGCCGAAAAATTGAGGTAATATTGTATATGGGAATAATTGTTCCAACCTTAATGGCATGTAATCACACATCCAGTCGAATTAAGCCTCAGGAAAAGCGATGCAAGCAAACCACTGCAGAGATTACTAAGCCGTGGACAAACTCTACCAGATCCTTAGCACTTGGACAAAAAGGAAGAACCTTCACTCTTGCTGGATAAGGAAGAAAGAAGGAAAGACAGAAAGAAAGAAAAGCCAAGAAGGAATGAAGCAGGAATGCAAGAAAGAGAAATGAAATAAAGAAAAAGCAAAAACAGGGAGAGGAAAATGAGTTGTTCATACCTGACTGCTTCTGTAATATAAAATCCAATTTGGAGAGGCATAGACGTGAGGCGGGGTGGGGTGGGGGATGAGATAAGGTGGGGTCTTTTTTCCCCTGCTGTACCCTTGTCCCATCTCATACAGTGCACGGCTATGTACACACACGCGTGCGCGCGCACACTCACACACAATGCACCCTTACCATCACACACGTAGTCCGTCATCAGCTCACCAAACACTAAATAATGAACAATACGGAGGCTGTCCCAGCATGATAAGTGACTGCCCTATCCTTCCCATTAGTGCCACCCGCCAGAATTAATGATAATTATGTCACGTCCCTTCCCGTACTTTTATTGAATTCTTATCTATGAATAGACGAAGGAAGCTAGCGTCAGAGTGAGAAGGAAGGGAAGATACTGCACTGACAAAGTTGAGTCTAAATAAGAATATTTCTCATTTAATTACTTTATTTCTAAAAGAAAAAGACGCGATATGGAAGGGCAAAATAAGTGCAAGTTCAATGAGCAATCAGAGGACTGAAGCCAGGGAGTTGTGACAATGGCTGATAAAGGTTGAAGCCCTCTCTATGCCTACAAGAAAGGTGAATAATTTACCTCAGCTCTGCCGGAAGCCCCAAGATACCACAGTGAACACAGCTTAGTTTCTCAGAAGTACTGCAACACAATAACTGGAAATGTGAAGGCTGTAAAAGGTGACAAAAGCTCTAGATACTTTTAATCTTAAAATGTGGTTATTATGTTGTTTAATCTCAGTCAGCATAACAGATAAATAAATCCTTAGTAACAAAAAAATCAATAAAATGGATATCAAATATGCAGTTGTCTTATTTTTTTCTGGAAATTAAACATCTTTTATACAAAGGGAATTTGTCATCTCCTCGAGACTGATAATAATATTACACCAATCAAACTCAACAAGTGCAGCTTGATGACATCTTTAATAATGTTACTACTGCTTGAGGCTGACAATGTAAAGTCTGGAGTCTGTTTATGATTTAGGGAAAAGCTTTTATGCACATTTAATGCACATTTATTGTATAAACACTTCATAGGAAACACCAGATCAATGCTGTTCAGGGCCCCTGTTTGTTGTCAAACAGCCTGACGTCTTTTTTGGTGTGGATTCCACTGGATGCTAAAAACATTCCTTTGAGATAATAATCCATGCTGACATTATTGTACTGCAAGATTTTTTGCTGCACATCAATACATCAATATGGAAGGGGATTTTGCTGGATTCTGTGATGTAATGGGGAAGCCACTGAAGTCCACTGCACTCATTGTAATGCTCCTAAAACCAGTTAGACAAAACCAGGCAGACATTATCAATTTGAAAGTAGTCATTAAAAGATGGTAAACTGCAGCCATCAAGACCCTGAAGCGCCACGGGAAAAAAATCCATGTATTCTTATACTGCTGCATTCAGCATGGCCTGTTGACACATGCCAAGCTGGGTCCATGGATTCAAGCTGTTGATGCCAAACTGTGACCCTACTGGACTATTTGCATCCCTCAGCACAAATCAAGATACAGACCAAGCTATGCTTTTGTGTGCGCCCTGAGCAGACTTGTTCTTGACTGACAGAACTGGAAGCCATTGTAATCGCTTTAAAGTGAGATCTGCTGTGCATTGTGAGAAGATGGCCTACCCTTTCTGTATATTTGCCTCTGCATGACCTCTCTCTTCAACAACGCATTTCTATTTGCTAATTTCTGTCTGCTTTTTTGCACCAAGCAGCCCATTTGTCACTGTTAGTTCTTTTTCAATGTTTAAAGTGTTTAATAACTAAAACTCCTGACTGGAATATGCAGGATTTCTATGATTTAGACTTCTGTTCCACTACTGCCTAAGTGGGTAATTGCATGAACAAGCAGGTGTTCATGTATTTCTAAAGTGGGAGTACTAATGGGAGCACTAACTCGCTGACTGCCATTAAATGTTGCTAACAAAAAAAGATTTGGACTTGAAGAGGAATATTATAAGATGCTAGAATTTAATCTTGGCGATTAAACATTGACATGTGACAACAGGGATTAGAAAAAAACACAACTAATGATAAGTGATTAATAAGATCTACATAAACTCTTTGCTTGTTGGAAACACACACACAGACTCTTCATTCTTTTATCAGTGATTAATGATACAAAAGTGATGACTGAGCAGGGAATGTAGGAAATGCTTTCATGAGTCCTGATTAGGCCAGGCGTTTATGTGCCCACACTTACAGAAGCACAACCAAAGATAATGAGTGTGTGTGTAAAGTGCTCTTTGACAACTCCAGTAGGGAAGGTAATGAGTGTGTGATAATACACTCAAACAAGAATTTAATGAGGCACAGGTACGAAGTGTTGCTACAAAAGCACAGAACGCAAAGATGAGGAAAATTCATCTATCTCTGATTGTAATCCTACTGTACATAAACCATCCAGACAATGCGTTCAATCTCTATGCATTCTGATCAATAAATACCTAATAACCCAAGGCACTGGAGGCAGCATCTTTAGGAATACAAACCGGTGTTTTAATTTAGCACCGTACTGCAATATATCAAACATCAAAGGGTGTACAATGACAAAGATGCATATTTAGAATGCTTGTATAGTTATTTCTATACTAAGCCTTTACATTTCTGTCAACTGCTGTGTGCCACATTATATAATAGATAATCATATTTCAATTTCAGGAAAAAACTAAAGATAAATACAGAGAGACACTCCATGTCCTTTCATATAATATGGCTTCTTTCATTTTTTTCAAGGTCAACATTTGATCTTGAGTGCTAACAATGAAGATCAAGCTCAAATGTTTTGCCAACCTTGGAACTCATATCTTCCAAGGCCCAGTATATTTGTTGTGAAGTAAATATTGTGCAGCACATCCACTTAATATATGTTTGCCCCACCCTAAAAGCCCAGATTCACTCCCTGTGGTATGTTTGGTTCCGTTCAAATTCACTTATTTATTTTATTTATATTAATTTCTTGACATATAATTACAGTTTTATTGACTTTTTGTAAAGTTCAACAAATCCACTCGTTTCTATTTTAATTATGTTAAATCTTTATCTATATATATCATTATCTCAGCACTGACCAAAAATAATTTGGATTCTGATATTTGCCGTAAATTGAACAGCCTTGGGGAGAAGGGTTCAGCATAAACGACCCAAACTGTGGTCGCCCGCCATTATGTGCTGACACACAGTGCATCGAAAAGTCAAAGCGACAATCTCTGCCAGATGTGGCGTGTTGTGACTTTAACAAAATGAAAATCAAGTTAGAAGGGGGCAGGCCCAAAACATCAGAGAACATCCAGTAGACACTGGATCCACACAGACATGGGCCAAACAGCTGCAGGTAAGATTAGGCAAATTCAAATCTGGTCCAGTTTCCAAAACTGTTTAATTACACCTCATATATTCAGGTTTTTCTAAAAAAGTTTGGAGCAATGAGAGCCTTTTTATCAGTTTCAAGTAAAATAAATGAAAAAAACAAAAAAACAAACTGTAGAAAGGAAACTGACAGAAAAGATCATCTTACTTTTGGTCAAATGCAACCGTTCCACAAGCAAAACTCATGTATTAAAGAAAAAAACTGAGTTTTGCAGAAAGAGCAGCAACAGATGTCTGCGTTGGCGTCATCGTACTAGATGTAGGTGGAAATTTCACTGCATATGTCTCTGTTTGTGTCAAAAATATCATTGTGCTAGCTTCGTTTTATTTCATCAAAAAAAATAACACCTTCACAGATATCGACTGTCATTATGATGTGCAGGTTTTACTTTGTTTGGAAGAAATACACTTATTCAAGGAAGTTCACAACTAAGTCTGTTGTTTACTTCACATTTACACAACTTACTGGATGCGTGAGGCAGTGTGGCGAAGAACGTCTTGAGGCGACAGGCAAGCCATTCCATGCTCTCGTGAAGGTTGGCCAGTGCCTTGAGGTCACTGACATCACGCAGGATCTCATTCTGTGGGATTAACTTGTCTCCGAGGTTCCCAGTCAGCACCTCTGACTCCTTAGCAAAAGCAGCCCTGAATGATGGACGGGGTGAGGGATGTAAGAGTGTATGGTTAGAATGACAGGCACATTATATTTTTGGCAAAAGAAAAACACAATTTAACCATCAATCAAGTGGCAAATACCCATTTAAAAAAAAAAAAAAAGAAGCTGGTATTAAAAAAAAAGTTGTGAAAGCATTGACGTAGCTCAGAGGAGACTTTGTGAAAGGCACTTTAATCGGTCCGCAGTGTTACATTCTTTGGAGGAATTTATCAGTGATTGGGTTCCTGGTTGGACTCAAAATGTCTGGTTTGCAGACACTGAGTGGATTTTATAAAAAGCAATAATAGAAGTAAATTTTTTAAAGTAATAAAATAATGGATTGTCGAACAGAATGGATGTGCACACGTCTCCTCTGTGTGTTAATGCGTTCAACTGAAAATAGCTCAAATTTTATAATAATCTTATGCTTATGTGCTCAGTATCTCGGGGTTCAATTATTGCTTTGACCTTTACAGTGACTCACACACAAGGGAAATAAGAAGGGCTGAAAGCTGGATGGATACAGCGATAAACACAGAAGGAGTGGAGGGGAAAACTGTGAGCAATTTTATGAGTGCGGATACTTAAAAAAGAAGAAGTTTCCACTAGCTCAACAGTTGGTGGGAGAGAAAAACAGGTGACGGAAAACATTTAGAAAAAGAAGCCAAACACAAGGCAGAGATTTACAAAGTGGCCAAAACAAACACGCAGAGATGCATTTGGCGTTCAAGCACTTGTGGTTGCAGAAGCATAGGGTGAGACCTGGGAAGCTGGATAACTTAAAATCAAAACTGTACTGCTGCAAACACACGACATGTCAGCTAGCCTCCAGAGTCACCAGGATACCCGCAAGATCAAGATTCTTTGAACAACAGATGGGTAAAATAAACAAAACCCACAAGCTCATACGTTCTCACTCGGGCACAGGCATGTGTGGCTTATTAATGAGGCTTTATTAAAGCACTGGGCTGAGAGTCGTGCAGAAGCTAATCCCCTTTCATAGTGATGAAAACATCTACGGCTCTCAAATCAAACAGCCTTACGGTCTCCCTCTTGCTATCTCAGTGCTCTCTGCGCGCGCGCGTGTGTGTGTGTGACTAAGAAAAGGGAGTGTATGAGAGAGGAAGAGAGTGCACACAACAGATTGACTTTCTCTGGCCGCATAACCAATTTATTTATTTACTTTACTCTTCCGCTCCGATGAGCTCCAGTGTTCCCTGAAGAGGGTGCACATTCAAAGGCAATTTCGATAAGACTGACCCCCCCCCCCCATTCCCTGCCTCTGTATGCTCTCCTTATATTTTCCTATTTTGTTCTTCCCTCGTTTCCTCACTTCCTCCAGATAAAGGGCGTTTAAAAGAACAATCATGACTTCTTTTACAGCCACATCTTAGTCAACAAGAGGGGGGTTCAAAACATATGTGAACAAAGACGCAAAAATGGGAGGGAGGGATTAAGTGCGTGATTGCTCAAGTGTGGTTGTGTACATCCACGTCTGATTCTGTCTGTGTGTCTACTGTGAATGTGAGTATGTGCTATTCCACGTATGCTTACATTATTTAATTCTGCACATACATAACGCATATGAATGAGCATGTGTACATGCGCATACTGTTACTGTGCATAATTTGTACCTGGTGAAGTCTTCTTCATCCTCTCTCTTCTGTCGGGTCTGTCTGGGCTGGGCCATATTTGCCCAGTTAGGGAGGGACTGGAGCAAACGACTGATGTCTTCATCTTTAGCCCAGGAAGCACTGATGGTCAGCTTTTCTTCACACTGGACGATGCCCCTGAGGGAAAACAGACATAATAATGTAAACTTAGGCAAGAAATTATTTGTAAAAAGGTGTTTTTAAGTTCTTGCTCCTAAAATAGAAACACATTGTTAATAATATTGGAAGAATATCAAGAAACTAGTTTCATTTTTTTTTCATCTTACCAACAGATAAAGAACTTAGGGTAAAAAATTGAATGAGATTTGCGGTTAAAAGGCATATGATGTCATACTATATTATTATTAGTTTTCAATTATAATGAAAGTGTAACAATACAGTGATTTGGATTTACCGCATTGAACTGTCACTGTGTGTGTATTAGCATTATTAAATAGCTGATAATGTGGACATTCAATATTTAACTTTCTGAGTTAATGGTTTTTAATTTTTGGGCATATCCCTCTGCGAGCGTCTTCTTCACTAATAGTTTGTTAACTTTACCCTTATTCATCTTATAAGGGCCAACATGAAGAATCATAAAATTGTGACTCATCAGTCACACAGGCTGGGGTATCAATTCAAGCGCCTGCATATTTTAATTAAAATATAGATTTTTCAGACTATAAACCGCTAAATCAATATTTTGATCCTACCTCTAGCTTTAAAAAAAAACTCCAGTATAATTTTTTTTGCTGTGCATGAGCCATACAGCAAGTACAGCTAAATAATATCTGCTTAGTACTAACAAACAGAACACGAGCTAATCAGAGAGTTGTGAATGTGATTTACGACCATCTTTACTGACATATAAAATAAAATTACAGCAGCCGTGAATTGGCTTGAGGACAATCTGTGGCAGAGTGCCAGTATCTATTTGCTTTGTTTGCCTGTGCCTATGTTAGAGAAACTGCTTAGTTCTGCAATTATTACTAATACCCCAAGCACTCCGGGGTATCACATTCACATCTGCAACCACACACATAAGTGGGGCTGTGGGAGACAGAGACCTGTTCAGCAACACAAACACACACACTTTATCACACGGAGGCCCCAGTGAGACTGAGGCTGACCTGTGACAGGGTCCAGATGGACTCCCAGCAGTCTGTCAGTCCTTTCTTGTGTCTCCTGCCCTGCTTATCACCCCCCCTCCATATCCTCTAGTCCTCTCTTTTTCTAGCCAGGTGTTACATGGTACCAGAGGCCACAGATGAACAGCTTTTCACAGCACTGTGTCTGTGTGTGTGATTGTAAGAAAACGCAATAACCAAATTTCTAAAACAATGTATAAATCAAACCATAACAATTAACCTTATATTTTAGCTTCCTGCCAGCCTTCTCTGTGTTTTTTACCTGTAGGCTGTGTTGCAGATTTCTTTGTACTCCTTGAGCTTGTCGCAGACCATCTCAAGGAACTGGTTGGAGTAGGCACTCAGGTCCTGCATCAGGCTCATCAGATCCTGGATGGCCTTTTCCACCACCACTGTGCTCTAAATGGAAAGAAAAACAGTTTTAGGGGTTTTTTTTAAACTCTAAACATAAAATCTCTGATTTCAGCTTTAAGAAAAAACAAACGAAATTCAGTAATAAACAAAAAGGGTAAAGGTAGACTAACATTTATGTAGATGTCACTTCACATCAGGTCTGTTGGAGTAGCAATGTAATTGGAGTAATCCAAATTCCCTTGCTTTGCCCTCACCTGAGGCTGGACTGACGACTAAAGCAGAGAACCTTGTCAGAAGTCTTAAGACTATTAGTGAAAGGTTTGATTCTTTGTATGTAAGTGCATCAGCGTGAGTGCACATATTTTTGTGCGTGTGTGTTTTGAACTTCTGTGTTGTGTGTGCTCTCAGGCTTAAAGTGAGTGTGTGCGCATTTGTCACAGTGCACCCATCACCAGGAGCCACGGCAGGGCTGTGACAGCAGCCATTACAGATTAGCCACTCCTGCGTGACTAATAGCTGGCCCGGGAACAGCAGAGCAGCTTCATATCCCCAGACACACTCACACTTACACACATCAAACAAACTTTTTCAAAACACACACCTTTGAGCAATTTGAGAGCTGTTAAATAAGATTACAACTCTGTATGTTCCAGTTTGCTGCTCCCAGCACTTAACCAATCCTAGCCTATATCTGTAATAATAGTGATAACTCACTATTAGTCTGGTGATAGCCTTGCTGCAGCTACTCTGAAACTACAAGAGTAGCACAGTGAAGTGCAGAATAATCCCCTGCGACCATTTACAGAAAGCCAATCTTAAACAAATGATTTCTATTTCTCTTCGTATCCCTTCTCTGACTATGTGAATTTCATATGAAGTTTCAAGTGAAGGTGCGAAATAGAAAACCTACATTTTTTTGAAAAAAAAACTGATAAAATGAAAAATGACTTGCGTTACTCAAGGTACAAACAGCTGCAAGAGTAGCATAGCACCTTGTTTTTTAGTGCTGTCTACCAAAATGTCATATACAAGCAGACAGCATATTCCAAAGTCAACATTTATTTACTATGACCTTAAATGTAGCACTGTGTGAAAGTCTCAAGCCATCCATCTGTTCTTCATATTTTACTAGGAAAATGGAAAATAGGTAGAAGGATGCATTAAAACATCCAAACACACATGGAAATACAGAAAACAAGGCAAAAATAAAATCTAAATTTGATCTGACCACCTTTATTCTTCAATACTGCTTGAAGTCTTTTAGGCAAGCTTTCTTGTAGTTTCTTTAAGTAGTATTCAGGAATAGTTCTCCAGGCTTCTTGAAGGATATTTTAAAGCTCTTCTTTGGATGTTTGCTGCCATTTGTTGCATTCACTGTCAAGATAATCCCACACTGCTTGAACCGGGATCTGGGGAGGCCAATCCATGACTGATAGTGTTGCATTGTCTGTCTTTACTTTTATATTTGGCACTATCTCATCCTAAAACAAGTAGCCACTGCCAGTCAGAAGCCTTCCAGATGGTACTGCATGGTTAGTTTTAAGTGGCTGTCTTAAAAACAACAAACAAGAAAAACATTCCTTTGAAAATGATCGGGTAAAAAGACTTGACTGATAATGAGTGAAAAAACAGCCACTGCCCATAGAAAAAATTTACAAAACCTCCAGAAAGCCGGGAGAACTACTGCTCAACTATTACTTGGAAGTAAGATATAAAGAAATGAGTGGTGGCTCAAGACGTTTACACAGTACTGTATGCAAATAAGCTATGAGCGTCTTGGATCTCAAAGATGTAATTACCATGTACAAGTATTATATCTACTATTCTACCATTTGTAATACATTTTTTTAAAAAAAAGGTTCCATTACATTCGAGGTCACTAACTATCTGGTATGACTAAGTGGCTGCTAGACTAAAGGGGGCAGTAGTGACTATAATTGATCATCAAAAAAAAGAAGAAAGAACCCCTGATGTGATAAAATGATATTAATATTAATAGCTCTTTCTCTGTTCAGTTTCCCCTTCGCTCATTCTGTCACATGCAGACGAGCATGCACATGCACACACACAAACAGCAGCTACTCCAATGAGGGAGGTAATGATCCATAGCACTGCCCATACCCATGGAGTGCTAACCAAGGCCTCATCTCTGCCAAGGGAGCACCCTTTACTGTCCATGCCTGATTCCCTGTCAGCCTGCCAGGGTAGAAGGAATTACACAGACCCTGCAGGAGAGGAGGCTGTTAATGTAGTTCAGGCAGCCGCTACCTTCCCTCCATTGTGTAGGCTGCTAGTACCGTAAACTGGATTATATAAGAAGATGAAAAAAGTAATTTCATCATTGCTACTTTCTGTTACAGTGACTATGTCGATAATGTTGTCATAATAAGAATTTTTTTGCCTTTTCCAGGGATCTGGTTGGAAGGTCAGCTGTATGGTAAGGTCAGGTAAACTTAAACAAGTCAGTACTTTCATAATTATTAGTCATTTGGATTTAATTAGTTCATTAGTTTTTTTCTGTAAAAATGGGCTGATGCTGTAGCAAGACCTATTAATTGTTAAAAGACAAGTGGCAGTATGACTATGATAAAAATTAAACATGGCTTGCATGCTCATCATAAGGTTCTATATTCTCAAGTGATGATCAGTTGATATAAAAGTGCAGTATTCCGGCAAATGCAACATAACAGAAAAAACCCCCCACAGATTAACATTAATGTCTTTGAGCAAGTACAAAAAAAATTGCATTAATGTAAACTCAAGGGAAAAAGTTAAACAAAGTGAGGAAAAGGTAAAATTTTGGTTTAGAAATCTGATATTCTCAACAAGTTCTTGTGCAGCCATAATCATAACGATATCCTGTTCCTGCTTTAAGGACAAAGAGCTGAAGAGCAGGCCAAGTCGGTGAATGGAGAAGAGTAAACAATGGATACCTGATCCATTACTCCTGCTCTAACAAATGCTCTTGCACTCAGCTCCCTTGTCTAATTTGCTCATTTAACACAGCCATTTGTCTTAGGCAGCAGCAATCATTAAAAAGTAATCAAGGGACAGATTGAGAAAGGGAGGGCTTAGACGGAGAGAGTAAGAGTGGTAGGGGAAAGCCAGTTCTGCTACATATCCTCCATCTTACTTGACTGTTACACAGGAGTAGACATGCTTCTCAATCTATGTCTATCTTACGCTCTCCCTCTGTGTAATGATTCAAGCTTAAAGGTCAACATGATGTGGTATCGAGAAAAAAAACAACAAAATAAACAACCCACCCATATTTCTTGTGCAATTCTACTTCCTAGTATTTTATTACCCTAAAGCTGCACATGGTTGCACTGTGTCGCTACTCGTTTTACATCATTACTAGATAAACACAGTCATCACAGAAAATTAGACTTGGGTTGTGCAAATGGATCTTGAATTTGCTGGGGTAAACTGCTGTTTGGAAATGAAGGCCACAGCTATAGTGGTTTAATGAAGGCAGAGCTAGCACTCAGATTGGCGCCTCAGCGGTAAAATCTCTCAATGCATGGTCATCACAACAGAAACCACCCTCAAAGTAGTCGTTTCCTTTATTGGAGAGAGTAAAAAGAGCACAGCACAGGGAATGTCATTACTACAGTAAGAAAACAGGGATGCGATCACTAAACTCCCTACGCTAGCCGAATTTGTTTTACTAAACGTGTCATCAGGTTTTTAAAAAATTTAAGGTAGAAGGAATAAGAAGATTTTATTTACTGAAGCTCACTAGGAAAGTCCAATAACAGGCTGTGGCTAAATAACAGCTTCATGAGATTTCTCTACTGTGTTTTCAGAGATGACTGTGAGAAGAGAAAGCGAGAGATGAGGGCCTCAGGTTTGAATCGGAAACGGATCATGGATTTACCCCATTAAAATAGGGGGTACCCCTTGAGGTTGTGCAGAGGTCAGAGTGTTTAACCTTATGTTCTCTGACATTTCACTCGTGCTCTAACCCAAAACCACTCACTCGTGTAATGCCTCTCCCATCCCATTCATGTCTGACCACGGATTGATAAAATAACACAACCTCAGCAGCACGTGCATCCATCCATCCAACCACACACACACCCACACACCAAATGGGACACATAGAAAGATAACCCCTGGCTGCCCCCCTTTCCCCCAACAAAGGCTGTTCTCCTCTCCTGGGTAAAGAAGAACTGGGCATGAGTGGGACATTGTCTTGACAGATCATTCATCAACGTCACAGGAGAGCCAGTCTCTGAAGACTCCCCTGACACACACCGGATGGGTCTCATGGTTGTGCCTGCTTAACTGCAACACATGCTGCTTCTAATGTGTATGCATGTAAATGAGTGTGTAGTTTGTAATTGAGTTTGTTTAAGCTTAAAAAGTCAAGCTTAAACAGGTTCACAATGCCAGGTGTGTGAATAACGTCTTTTTTTTTAAATTAGTTTGTGCCACAAGCCAGTGTACCTCTAGTGCCAGTCCTAAGCCTGGATAAATGGCCAGGAAGGGCATTTGCCACATATTTGTGGCCAAACCAAACAAGCGAATAATATAAAACAAGATTTCCATAATGAAAAGGTCAGGGCCCACTGGTGTTGTTAGCCAACAGAGTGACGGTGGAAACGGTGACGGTGTGCCACCCTTGGCCAGAGACAAAGGAAGAGGAGAACGTATATGAGAGGACAGCGTGAGAAAAGGAGAAGATATGTACAGGGGTGCTAGAGGGTTGTGACTGAAGATTATGCTAGGGATAGGCTGTGATGGAGGCAGAGGATCTGCCATGGCGACCACTAAAGAGAGCAGCTTAAATCATACCAAGAAGACCACCTTTGTGATTTACTGTTGCTTGTTACATAAAAAAATTGCTTTACAATGCCAACATTCAAGGACTTCAAACATTTTGTATATACTTCCCACTTATCATATACACATAAAAACATGTGAAAAAGAAAGTTGTCCCTGGACTCTGTGAAAAATTACTATACTCTGGCTGCTTTCATAGGAGGGATAAGTATCATCCTGCTGAATCATGGCGTCTTTTTGTTTTTCACACCACTGCC